CACACACACACACACACACACACACACACACACACACACACACACACACTTCAGCAGAGGCCACGCCTCCAGCAAGAATCACTTCTCTATGGCCGCAAGTCCAGACCCTCGTACGAAGCAAAGTGAAGGACAGGGTCTGGTTTTTACCAGGCTAGATTTCTGGTGGTCAGTAAAAGCTCTTATTCGCGTACCTCCTCCATCTCTGCCAACTCCTCTTTAACTTGGATCTCGATGACGTTCTGATCGCCGTCAGGATGGTCAGAGTCCATTTTGCTCATCTGCTCAGTCTGTGAGACGTCGTCCTCCTCCTCCTCCTCCTCCTCCACCACGGTCTCCTCCGTTCCAAGAGCAATGCCCGAGTTGAGGATGGCCTGGCAGATGAGGTTGTCACCTGCTGCTGCGGCAGCGGCAAGAACTTCCGCCTGAGACTGCTCCACCACCACCTGACCCGACCAAAGCAAGAGGTTACAGCAACACTTTGGACAGAAGAAAACAAGGGGACTTGCTTTATTCATGTATGATACGACCCCTCCTTTTTTGAGCTTAAAAGCATAAAAAATTTAATCTTCAAACTACCTCCAATTTCATACAGACTTCAAGATTTTTCAGCCTTTGCAGTCTTTATATATCAGTAAATGATCATTGGACTGTTCATTTTATTTTAACAACATATGTACTAAAAGCTATTTTGACAACAAATATACAGTATATCAGCTGTAGCAGCATCATGTGAATTCTGGCATTTTACACATAGTCCACCAGGAGGCGCCAACACAAAAGTCAGAGACTTCACATGAGATTTGGGCCATCTTCTGGGGGAAAAGCAGATTACTTCCTACTCGTGAGCGCCCCCTCTGGTGGGGAAACTTTTTTTTTCAGGGATACAAACTTTTTCTGAACACCGGTAGATGGCAGCCATTACAGATGAACATGTGTTTGTTGTTGTTCGAGGAGCGGCTCGGTGACATGCTAATGTCATTAGTTCACTGTCATTACTAAGGTGCAGGACTGCTTTTCCCCCTTTTTTTCACATCATGTCATCTGCCTGGATCTGTTAATATCTCGCTCTGAAGCACGGAGGAGTCTCAGAGGTAAGCTCGTTTCAACTGCTTTTACGGCACAGTCTCATTTCTGGACTCATGCATTTTGTGAATGAAGCTGATATTTCAGTTAAAATACATAAGTAAAAATATTTATCCGAGTATAGTACTACCCCCCCCCCCACCACAAATTTATGGATGATTTTATGGATTTAATTTTACTTATTACACTTGAATAAATACGGTACATAGCACCGCCTCACCTGTTGCTCCTGTGTTGCTCCATCCACCTCCACTGTGAAGTGCACCTGCCGCAGGACCTCTTGGGAAGCGGCGTCCACGACGCTGACGACGGCAGTCTGAGCCTCCGCCATCTCCTGCTCCTCAGGCTGCTGCTCCACAACTACCACCTCCTGCTGGGCTGCCGCCGCGGCTCGATCAGCGCCCACGCCTGGAAGGTTGGCACCAACTTCGATTTAAATTGGTATGACAAATCCAGTTTTGATTGGGAAAAAAAAGTAAACATTAAAAAAATATACGATCTAACCTTTCTGCACTCCATCCTTGCTGACCAATATTTCTTTGTACTGGACGAAACGAATCTTCTCCGTGCATGGAGTCAGAGCTTTTAGATGTCTGGTGAGGGCTCCAGATTCTCTGAAGGACTGCCCACACAGGGTACATCTGTACGGCCGCTCATCTGCAAGAAGGCAGGGGAAAAAAAGGATTAATTTTTGGAGACACGCGTGCATCTGAGTCACGCGTACCGGCGGCGTGTGACGCACCGGTGTGACGGCGGTTGTGACGAATCAGGGAGCCTTTGGTGCGAAAGGAAGTCGAGCAAAGTTCACATGAGAAGTTCTTCTGGTCACTGTGAGTTTTCATGTGAGTTCTCAAGATGTTTGTCTGTGGTGGAAAACGTACAGACCGTTACCGCTCGGGCAAAATTAGAAGCAGTTCCAGCTGACTCACTCACATCCTCTAAGTGAATGCACAACACAGATGTATCTGCTCACGGTTTTAAATGTCTTTTCACAAAGGCGGCAAATGTAGCGTCCCTCTTGATTGACTTTGTAAGGTGGTCTGTCACCGTCAGCCCCATCAGAGGCAAATCCAACACTTGGATCAGACTGCTCAGAAACTTTAACTGGGAGGACTTTCTTCCTGTGACCTCGACCCAACGGAGTTCCGCTTTCATCTGGGTTGAAACAAAAAAAGAGCTTTTGGTCGAAAATTAAATACGTATACCTCACAGCAGAAAAAAGAAGACTTGAGATAAATCATAAACCAATAAATCATAAATTTAGTGTGCATACAGAACAGGTTTCAGAAAAATACTGAACAGAAAAATCATTCTGTGGAGAATTTCTTATCCAATTGATACAAGAACTCAGTTTGGGTAATTACAAAACTAAATCTCAATACTCTAATATTTTTCTATTGTTAGTTTATAGTGTAAATATTGATTCAACACTCACAATATTTTTTTCCTGTTTTTTTTTTCCTTTACAGTGTTTGTAATCGCTCTACTTTGTGTACAATTTTTTCCTCTTTATTTGCAAGTATTTTTCCATAGGAAGACATCAAGACATTTTCAATCCTTTTAAAATCACAGCTCTATTTGGATAACTGCTCCATTTTTGTCTTTAGGCTAAATTTAGTTTTTAGCTTCTGTTCCACTATCGTTAGATTTCAGATAGCTGTTTGCTACTTTTTGCTACTCTTAGCTTTTAGCAAATCCTTTGTTACTTTAAGATAACAATTTCATACTTATACCTTAGCTCAGGGGTGGGCAATCCTGGTCCTGGAGGGCCACAGCCCTACATGTTTTACATGTTTTCTGCTCCAACACACCTGATTCAGTCACTGAACTACCTCTTCCAAATTCTGTAGTATGGAGGACCGACACTGACATAATTAAAATTAAAAGCAGAAATAGATAAATGAACCTTTAAATAAATAAATACATTTGAAA